GCAACCATCCAGCCAGTTCCTTATCCACTGAACAGTCCATCCATCAAATCCATAGCTCTCCAATTTAGAGAGAAGGATGTTGTGGGGGACCGTGTCAAAGGCTTTGCAGAAGTCCAGATAGATGACGTCTGTTGGTTTTCCCTTGTCCACTGATGCTGTCACACCATCATAGAAAGCCACTAGGTTCGTCAGGCAGGACTTGCCCTTGGTGAAGCCATGCTAGCTATCTTGAATTACCTCCCTGGCCTCCATGTGCCTTAGCATAGCTTCTAGGAGGATCTGTTCCATGATCTTCCCAGGCACAGAGGTGAGGCTGACAGGTTGGTAGTTCCCAGGGTCTTCCTTTCTACCCTTTCTGAAAATGGGCACAATGTTTCCCTTTTTCCAATCACCAGAGACTTCACCTGACTGCCATGACTTTTCAAATATCATGGAGAGGGGCTTGGCGACTACATATTATATATATTTATACAAAAGTATAACAATGCATTTCTATCTAACATAAGTTTAAAATTGCTGTATATTAAAAAAGTTTTGCAAAATTTTGTAGGCAGTCAAAATCAGTGCTATATGGCTGTACCTCTACTGTAGGTATTAATTATGGGAAAAGATTAATTTTATGATTTTATTCTGAGCTACACTTTTGGCTGCAGGTTTGTAGCAATGAAATAAAATGTGTCTGTGACCGATTTTGGGGAGGAGATGACTGCAGTTTTCGCATCAAAGATGATAAATTTTTTGATAAAGATGCCATCAATAAAGGTACGTTGTAATAATTTTTACTAGTAACTGGAAAAGCTGGGATTTGGGGAAGGTTTATTAAGCAAAAGTAATCTCCTACTCTTTCAGTTAGCATGCAACACGATGCGCCATTAGGAGCGTTCATTCCATTCCCTTCCCTTCCTCTCCGTGTCTGTGAATGAGGTCTCAGCCCTAGGGCTGGATGCGAGCGGTGCTGCTCATGGGCACCCAGTACACCTCTCAGGACTGGTGTGTCTGGTTGTACCTTGCTTGTCCCAATCATCTGAGTGGCCTTATTAAGTGTATTGATAGATTAGGACAAGCTAAAAGTTACTGGGAATTTTCATATCTAGATGGAAAGGTAGCGTTGCTTACATGACTGGTTTTTATTTGGAGAGTCCATTTTTTATTACATGGCCAGTATGCAGAATGTTGACACACAAATTTTAGGCTTTTATATTTTTTGAGTGAAGGTTTTTATTCATCGTTAGGCTTGCATACAAGAGAAAGATATATTGTGGAAAAATGAGGCCGTAAATGTTTTTCATTATAAATCCTTGAGGGGGGAACATTTTACCATCTTCCAGAATGTTTCTTTTGGTTAGTTTATTCAGCTATGGAAGGGATTTGAGCAAAACCAAAAAAGTAACTTTTTTTCTGATGTAAGCATGTATTTGTCAGGCAGGTTATAAGGATGTAAGCTACAGCAGTTTAATACTAATGACATTATATTGGCATACCTGGCACAATTTTCCCATGTAGCAAGTGTTCAGTTAAGGGAAACAGACACAGACGTCAATGCTTGATTTACAAAATGATCTTTTTATGTCCATGATATACTTCAAGATTATATCACTGGTTACAATTAATCAGCCAAGGGATTAGCCTTGCAAGTTGTCCAAGCAGGTTTTTGAAAGACAGTGACTTTAATGTTTTTGTATATTCGTCTCCTAAACCCCTGTATGTTTTTCCCCTTTCTTGTGTTTCCAGGTGTTGTTAGCACAAATATAATAATAGGGGCTATTGCTGGCACCATTTTAGTGTTGGCCCTCGTTTTAGGAATAACTGGTTGGGGTTACAAGTAAGTAAATTGTGTTCTTCTTAATACAGTTAAAAATATGTTTATTTCATTTGGTAGCCGATTAAGTTACAAAAAGAACAATTCAAACCTAATCTAAAAAATCCAAATTGGTTTCTATTTATACTGCGACATTTTTATAGTATTAGCATTTTTCAAGGAATTCTTACATGTATATGTGGTTTTGGAGAGCTTGATCCAGGTTTGAAATTTATTTCTTATTTAGTTATTTCTTTTCTTTCTTTTGTAAATGATTGGATTATGATTTTACTGAATCTGACAAAGGACATACAAGAATATAGTCTGATTCAATCATGAATCTTTCCTAATGATGAAGTAAATTTGGCAAGATTAGCCTTCAGTCAGTCAGTAAAGCATTTAACCATAGGCTTCATTAAACAGATGTTTATATTCAGTCAGCTTAACCTGAAATTAATTCAGGCATGTTTTTTGGTAACAGAGATCTGTAATCTGCAAATAAGGTGCAAGTTCTTTCCTGGTGTAGAGCTGTCAGTGTTCCACTCACTGAAAGGCAAAATGGATTATTTTAGCCTGACTAATCTTTTTCAGTTTTTTTACATTGCTTTTCTCTTTATATTTTTTTTTTTCTCTTACTGACCATGTATACCTGCATACTGATAACTCATTCTTCTTTCTTTCTCATCTCTTTGTATGGAAAGAAACTACAGAAGACAGAGGTATGTGATAAAAGTAATGGAATGTGTCTTAGAAAGCTCTGAAAATAGCTTTTCTTCTCTCTTGCTCATTTACATGGTATAAAGAAAATATAGTGATCGCTATATTTTCTATAAAGAAAATACAGTGATGAATTATCGTATTTTAAAGAATATTTGCTTGAATATGTGAAGTTGGTATTTATAAGTGCATTGCTTGAAATCCTGATTTCACTCAACTCTAGCAAAAATAATGTTTACTTCTGAGCTAGACTATTTTATTTAGGAAAACAGGAGAATATTTCCAATAAGACTGAAAATCTGCTATTAGAGATGAAAGTGTTATTGGGAGGCTGAGAAATGAATAATTAATATTAACATGATGTTCAGGAGCCTTTTGAGACAAATTAATTCCTGGAGCTTCTTTGCAATTAAAAATACAACGCAGTTAAATTGCCGTGTGAATGAAGAGCCTATTCTTTCCTGCTCGATGGATTTGTAGCTAAAGCATGGTACCATCGTCAGCACAGGGCTGAGCTTTCACTCTTTCAAGCTTGTGGCCAAAACCCAAATAGTTCCTTGTGTCTGGGGTTTGGCTCCTGGAAGACCACCTCCCTTAGATTGGTCATCTGCCTGGCAGATGGGTCTTCTGGGAAGGAGTTGGCTCCTTCCTCTCCCAGGTGAGAGGGTTTCTCAAATTCCCCTGTTTTCTGCCTGCGTCACCACCTCCTGGTCCACGCTGCTGCCTTGTTTGTTGCTGCTACCCATTGTGCTTGTTCTCCATTTCCACTACCTGTGTAGTGCTTTTTCTGCCAGGCTCAAACTACTTGCAAAAAGCAGAAAAGCTCTGCCAAGTGCTGGTTGCGTACTGCGAGGTCAGGTAGGTGGCAGAAACGGTAACGGGAAAAAGGCAAAGCTATTGAAGTCAAGCCTTATGGAGAGGTTGGTGGGTAGGAAACATCACCTGGCACAAGGAAGGCAGAATTTCAGGGTTTGGTGCTGCTTAGTGGCGTGCGATGTGTCTGTAAGTGCAGACAAACATGGCCATCAAGTCACTCTACTGTGGGTGTGTCAGTGTTGGCTGAGCACAGAGCAGCCAAAACCTCGAAATACAGAAAGAGACCACCCCATGCATGTTCACATTGGAATATTAGGGAATCTAATTTTTCCAGATTCCCTCATCTCCAGACATTAGTATATGGACAGAGAGCTGTGAGGATGCAGTCAGTCTGCAGCTGTGTCTGTGGGCGTGGGCAGAGTGGAAACCGGCATAAGCTGAGGCTTTTCAAGGGGATGGAGGGCTCCATCATTTTAAAGTTGATGGAGATATTTAGCAACTAAATCTTCATGTGGAAAAAGAAGTTCTATGGGCTGACTTGTAAATAGAATAGTTTTGGATACATACAAGGAGTGCTCCATAAGTGGAAAAAACCAGGCATCCATCAGAGTGTCCAGAGTGTCCTTTTTTTTTAATTCTTTATGATTACATCTTAAATAAAGATGAAAACAAGCCATGGAGGTATTTCTGAGGGCTACATAAGGAATATTTGGTAGTACTAAGCAACTTAAATGAGTAAACTGAAAGGAATAAAGAGAGCAAATTAGCAAGGATTCAGCAAGCTGGGATAGTGTGGCTTAAAGGGCACAGCTACATGGGAGAAATAATTTCTGATGGAGTACTGAGAGGGCAATTTTCTGGAGGCCTGGAGAGCAGAGCTGCCCACATTGAGTCAATTCTGAACACACTGATGTACCGGCTGAGGAATCAAGAGGTGCTAGAAGAAATAGTGTGGAAGTACTGTGTTACACCAATGATTGATGTGCCTTATAATGATATACTTTAAATACTTTAGGAGCATTAGAAATTCAAATATGGAATGAAGAGAGCCCAGTTCAGGTCTATAGTTGGACACAATCTGAATGTGAATCAACCTTCTGATAAATGCACATCTTAATAGGGGCAGACTGAAGCAAAAAGGCCTTGGAGAGTGCAAGGCCGAATAGATAATTTGGTTGCTGGTACTATGATATAGCTGACTTTCAAAGTAGCTACTTATACTAGGGAGGATTTTTCAACTTGGTGGAACTGTAACTGGAATATTTGCACGGCAGTTTTCCTGCTGGCAATGAATCTACCATCTGCAAAAAAGTTGCATAACTTGATTAGGACTTTCTAATGCACAGGTAGTTTTATGCACCATAACGGAGCTTCTAGTAATGGAAAAGGATAAACTGGTGTCAGATATGTGTGGCATTATTTTTGTGTGTCTTGTCAGATTGAGTCTACCGTGGTAATCAGGAGTAGCTGAGAACCTCTGACACTGGCGTTAG